CTGGCACATGTGCATATGCCAAACATTCAAAAACCTTGAGATATTTGATAGAGGGTTTTCTCCCACTCCAAGCTTCTTCGGGCGTCTTATCATGGACACTCTTAGTTGGACACCTATTCAACACATAGACAGCACAAGCAACAGCTTCTGCCCAAAAAGGTTTAGGCAGATCCTTGGATTTCAACATGCACCTTACCATATTCATGATAGACCTATTCTTCCTCTCAGCCACTCCGTTTTGTTGTGGAGTGTATCTAGCTGTCATCTGATGTTGAATACCCTTCTTTTTCAGAAAATCATCACAGGCAATATATTCTGTACCTCTATCAGTTCTCAAGATTTTAATCTCATAACCACTCTGCTTTTCAACAAAAGCCTTAAATTGTTTGAAAACATCACATGCTTCAGACTTTTGCTTCAGAAAGTAAACCCATGTTTTTCTACTGAAATCATCAATGAAAGTAATAAAGTACTTACAACCTCCATGTGAGGGAACCTCCAACGAACACAGGTCTGAGTGAACAATCTCCAACTGTTTTGTAGCTCTCCTTGACTTGCCCACGGGAAAGGGATCTCTATGCTTCTTCCCAATCACACAAATCTCACAGATACGATCAGGGACATTCACAACAGGTAAATCAGAAACAAGTTCCTTTCTCGCAAGATAGTTTAACCCAGAGAAATGGAAATGCCCAAACCGCATATGCCATAACCAATTATCATCACAAACATCAGAATTAAAGCAATCAAGGAGAGTATGCTTAATTTTCAAAGGAAATAGTCGATTTTGGGACATATTTACCTTTGCAATCAAAACTCCTTTAGCATCTTCAATGGTACAACACCCTTGAGCAATATGTATCTTATATCCTTTTTCTGACAACTGACCCAAACTCAACAAATTTTGGTGTAGTTCAGGAACATAGAACACATCGGATATAAAATTGTGAGTACCATCCTTCAACTGAATAGAGATTTTACCTTTTCCCAAAATTGGCACCTTTGACTTATTGCCAAACGTTACTTCAGACCGGACTGATTCATCTAGTTCGGAAAACAATTCTTTCTTCCCACACATATGGTTACTACACCCAGTATCCAAGAACCATATGTTCTTATCAGCAGAAAAACTATCGCTGGCTAAAAGTAAAGTTTCAGAACTCTCACCAGACTTTTCAGCAGTATTTTCAGCAATGTTTGCTTGATTTCCACGATTGTTGTCCTCATTATACCAACAATCCGCAATCTTGTGCCCATACTTGCCACAATTGTAGCAATGAAATGGAAATTTACCTTGTTTGGTATTACCTCCACCTCTTCCTTGGTTGGAGTTACCACGTCCTCCTCCTTGGTTGAAGTTACCACGACCTCTTCCACTAGAACCTCCTCTTCCTCTTCCACGACCTCTACCAGATCCTCCACCTCTTTGATTAGTGCCAGTCACATTAAGGGTGACTTGACTCTTCAAAGCTTCTTCTGCTAGTGGTTCTGATTTTGACGCAATCCTGTCAATATGACTTTCTACCATACCTTTCAGCTCTGCAATTGATAAGAGCTCGGTTTTGTGTGACTCTGTTATTGAAGCCACCACATGGTCATACTTCATCGGCATAGTTCGAAGAACTTTTTCAACCACTGCACCATCTTCAATTGTATCTCTGTATAAACTCATCTTATTCACCATATCAATAAGACGAGTGAAATACGCATCTACTGTTTCTGTAGAGGTCATCTCACAATTATCGTACAACCTTCTCAACGACTGCAACTTAGACTTCTGTGCCCGATCGACTCCTTTGTGTGACACCTTTAAGATGTCCCAAGCTTGTTTTGCTGTTTGAGCACGAGCTAATTGCCCAAAAATGGAATAATGAATACCTTGGTGAATCTGACCCAAGGCCAATTTATCTAGCCGTATAGCGCCTGCTTCAGCTCCTTCGGGTAGACCGGGATCAACAAAGCTCCAATGATTTTGAGCTTGCAAATGTGTGGACATCATAATTTGCCAATAATTGTAATCGAGTTTCCCGTCCAATTTGAGACCCGTCCATACGATATTGAAATTTGCAGCCATATTTCACTACGGAAAATATCTCGGGGTTGAAAGGTTGACTGGCTTTGATACCAAATGTTAGATATATTAAATATAATATATTTAATATAACATATATTAAATATAATATAATATATCTATAACATATATTAAATATAATATATCTATATATTATATTTATATATTGAGAAGAGAGAGAGATGAATAGAAGTAAATGTTTATTACTTCACTTGATGATTATGAATAAACAAAAGCCACATATATATAGTGAAAGAGAAAAACAACAATGCTAAAGTTTAGGAAGTAATTAGAGGCCATGATTCCATGTACTCCATTTCACGTAGTGCTATGCATGCATCCACGTTCACACACCTCCTTTTATTTTTTAACAAATTAACTGCTAACTACTTGGTTTAATATATTACTAATAATAATAATAGCATTATTATTATTATAATATAACAGTAATGGAGCAAATTGGTGCCACTATTTGTTTTTTTTTTTAATTAATAATGGAATTATGGAATGTAGAAAAGGGTTGTGAGACAAAATATAATATTTCTTCCGTCTCATTTTATGTGTTAGGGTCGATAATTAACGATGTATAATTGAAGTTATTTTAAATTAATTTTTTTATAATATTAAGTATAGTGTTAGTATATAAATTTATATATTTAGAAAATACATTAAAACTACTATTAAACACACAAAAAAATAATTTTTTTTTTTTGAAAGTTACTGGTTCTATTACATTGTAGTATCTGTTCATATACTTTCTCAACCTACTGAAACACAAAGAACCAATAACGCCTCCACTGAGGCCCGAACTCATAATCTTCCAAATGGAAGTCCAACCCGGGTACCATTAGACCACATAGACCACAAAAAAATAATTTAATTTGGTATATTTTTAATATACATAGTACGATAAAGAGTTGATTTGACTAATAAATAGTAAGAGAAAATTACACTTTTGGTCTTATAACGATAAAGAGCGTGTTAATTTGACTACAATTTAGTCACGTAACTATGCAATTTTTAACACATTTGTTCTTCCTGGCCAAACCACCGACGAAATTTGACCGAAAAAATATAAACTATTTTTTTTTTGAATGTTACTGGCTCCTACTGAAACACAAGAACCAATAACGCCTCAACTGGGGCTTGAACTCACAACCTTCCAAATGAAAGTCCAATCTGAATACCATTAGACTACATAGTTTTTGTAACAAACAAATTGATCATTTTAGCTCTTCCTTCTCCCCCCTTCTTCATCGAGAGAGCAGATTGGACTTGCCGACACCGGAGTCGCCTATGAGCACCACCTTGCAGAGGTAATCATAGTCATCATCAGCTCTACTGTAGCCGCCAGCCATCTCTATACGCATATACAAATACAGTAAAGTATGTATGTATATGAATGATAAAAAATATGCAGACTAAAAAGATATGTTCCTTAGAACAATGAAGCAGACGTTAAATATTTTCTAAATTTGGGATTATTAATAATAGAATACAAATGGTTCACACGAATAAAATGACCAATTTACCCTCATAATTAAATAATTCAAAAAGTTTATATTTTTCCGACCAAATTTCGTCAGTGATTTGACCGGGAAAATTAAATGTGTTAAAAATTGCATAATTACATGATTAAATTATTAGTTTTTAAAATTAAGTACTCAAATTAATACGCTCTTATAATTATAAGATCAAAAGTGTAATTTTCTTTAAAAAGTAAATATGGCAGGTAAAATAAGATACAAGGAATATACAAGTTATTTGACATTCTGAGCAATTGCTCCTAATTCAAAATGTCTTTATTTAAAAATTGCGCCACAATTTCTCGAGTGTCATCTTTCTTGTCTTGAAAACTTTATTGGTTAAAATAATATATTTGTTGCTAATTCACATGACGCGCTTTGTTAAAATGAAATAAAGCATGCATCACATGACGGAATGTATGCTCTTTTCTTGATGATTATCCTAAGAAGCTGAAAGTTACGTTGCTAAAATAATCATCGATAAAAAATCATATTCATTTGAAGAAATAACTACAAGAAATCATTCGCGATACAATTGTGGGAACATCGCACATGGACATTGGTTGGTCGGTTCTTTACGGACCGAAACATGAAAGTGGAGATGATGAAGTGAGTCATGGCCTCGGTATGACGGCCACTCATGGGAATTGAGATAACGGACGTTACCCCGAACTTATATCTCTTTACATTCTTTGATGAGGCAGACATGCGCCGGGTGTTGGAGGAGGGTCCTTGGGCGTTTGAGAACGCGACGTTTCTTTGCCAGGTTTTGAATGACGGGGAAGATCCGACGCAAGTAGTGTTGAACACTGTGGACTTCTGGCTGCAGGTTTATGATATTCCATTGGGATACCGGACTGTAAAGGTGCTTGAGCGGATTGGGGATTTCGCGGGGGTGTTTTTACGTTATGATGAACGTAATTTTGAGAGACCGTGGACCTCGTTCGGGTACGTATAACACATGATGTATCTGTCCCTTTGAAACGTAGTATGAAGATGATCATGCGGGATGGGACGTGGGTCTGGATAAATTTCAAGTACGAGCGTTTGCATATGTTCTGCTTTTTTTGTGGTGTAATGGGGCATACTGATAAATTCTGTTTAGCTGCTTGTCGTTCGTTATTGACACCCGATCAATATCTGTTTGGTGCGGCTATGAGAGCGGGTGGTAATAATCCAGCCAAGATATTGGGTGATAAGTGGTTTAAGATAGGGCAGGAGAGAAGGAAAGAAATCGGGTTTGGTGTTGGTGGCTACGGACACAATGTTGCGGTAGCAAGTGGGTCGGCTATATCCGGAACAAGAGGCCGGGTGGCGGTGGGTAGAGCTACGGGGGAGGGTGGTGACGGTCAGTTGGGGTTGGGGAGGAAGAGGGAGTAAGGGTGGATCCAAAGAGACGTAGAATGGATGGGGAGATTGGTGGTGGAGTGGAAGTAGGGGTGGACATTGAGTCGGAAAGCTTATGTTTGGCGGATTCTGAGAATGGGGGTGGTAGGGGGCACCGGGTGAGGGAGGGAGTGGTGATGGAGGAGGATATAGCAATGACGGATGTTCAAAAAAACTTGCAGATGGCCTAATGAGTACTTTGAGCTAGAACTGCTGTGGCTTGGGTAATCCACGGACAGTTCGAGAAATTGAGGACATAGTGTCCCGCAAGAAACCTGATTTTGTATTTCTGATGGAAACTAAGGTTAACCGAGATCATGCAGAGTGACTTCGGATTAAGCTTGGTTTCGAAGGCCTTTTTAATGTGGATAACACTGTATTGAGTGGAGGACTGGCATTGTTATGGAGAACGAATGATACTGCAAGAATAATTGGTTATTCTAATAATCACATAGATGTTGAGGTGAGTTTGCCAGGTTTTGATAAGTGGAGGATGACTGGTTTCTATGGCTTCCCGAAGCGTCCGCAGAGAAGGGAGTCGTGGGACCTTATTCGGTCATTGGCAAGTAGATCGGATCTGCCATGGGTAATCATTGGAGATTTTAATGATCTCTTATATCAGTATGAGAAACGAGGAGGAAATCCCCATCCAGACAGCTTGCTACGGGGCTTTGGAGAAACTATTGAGGAGTGTGGTTTGACACAATTACCAATGTCTGGATATCCCTATACTTGGGAGAAGGGAAAAGGCACGCCAAACTGGATAGAGGAACGATTGGATAAGGTTTTGGCTACTCAAACCTGGAGAGAGTTGGTGGCTGATGCAAATGTGCAGAATATATTAACCCGGAAATCAGATCATTCTTTCCTTTTCCTTGGGATTCTCAATCTTCGGGGAAGGAGGGGTGTTCTGAGAAGGGGTTTTCGTTTTGAGATGGCATGGCTACATGATGAGGGGTGTAGGGAAGTGGTGGAAAAATCCTGGGGCGAAGGAAGAAGTAGGGGGTTGCAGGAGTGTGTCACTCTATGTGGTGATCGGTTAACACGCTGGGGTGGAGACCGATTCCATAAATTTGGTGAGAAAATATTGAACTTGCGTAAGGAACAGTTGCGCCTCAGGGGGTGTACGGATCCGGTATCCCTAGCCGAGTTTCGGAGACTAGATGAATGTTTGGCTCGTATTGAATTACAGGAGGATACGTACTGGAGACAGAGGGCCAAACAGCATTGGCTCAAGGATGCAGATGCAAACACCAGGTTTTACCACAGGTATGCTTCTCATCGAAAGAAAAAGAATGTTATTACTAAAGTTATGAATAATGATGGGGATTTGATTTAGGGGGATGCCATGAGGAATGTAATCTTGGATTATTATCGTGGTATTTTTAACTCGAGTTCTCCTACTGTTAATGATGATTTCTTTGGGAGTATACAATCACGTGTAACAGGCACACAGAATGAGAGTTTATTGCGCCCATTTGAAGAGAGTGAGGTTAAATTTGCATTGTTTTCAATGTATCTTGATAAAGCACCAGGCCCGGATGGTATGAACCTTGAGTTTTATCAGCACATTTGGGATGTAGTGGGTACTGATGTTTCTTCTTATATTTTGAATTGTCTGAATACTTGCTCAATGCCTGATAAATTGAATGAAACAAACATTATTTTGATCCCCAAGAAGAAAACCCCGGAAATGGTTTATGATTATAGGCCAATTGCTTTGAGTAATGTCGTTTACAGAGTTATGGCGAAGATGATTACAGCCAGGATGAAGCCACTAATGGAGAATATTATATCTGAGTCCCAGAGTGCATTTATATCTGGAAGGCTAATTACAGATAATATCTTGATAGCTGCGGAAGTTGGCCATTATTTGAACAGGAAGCAATGTGGACTAACAGGTTGGGGGGCTTTAAAGCTGGATATGGCTAAGGCTTACGACCGTATGGAATGGTCTTTTTTTGCAAAGGATGCTAAGGGCACTGGGATTTGATGAAAGATGGATAGAGTTATTGATGATGTGTGTAACCACTGTGTCTTACAGTGTACTGGTAAATGGTTCAAGAATTGATCAAATAACCCCGACTCGTGGTTTAAGGCAAGGTGATCCCCTGTCACCTTATTTGTTCATTATTTGTGTTGAAGGGCTTTCAATATTATTAAAACAGGCACAGGCAAAGGAAGAGATACATGGCTGTAGAGTGGCTAGAGGAGCTCCCTCCATTACCCACTTATTCTTTGCTGATGATAGTCTGCTTTTTCTCAAAGCAAATATTCAAGAGGCGGGTGTGGTTAAACGTTGTTTGTCGGAATATGAAAAGATGTCTGGCCAAGCAGTTAACTATCACAAATCGAATATTTGTTATAGTAAAAATACACGAGGTGAAATAAGGGAGGAGATTGCCGATATATTGGGAGTTGTGCAAGCGCAGAATTTTGGAAAGTATTTGGGGCTTCCATAATTTGTGGGCAGGAATAGAAAAGTGGCGTTCTCTTATATTGAAGATAAGATAAGGCAGGGGATTAACTTGTGGAATAAGAAACTTTTGTCACAGGCAGGAAAAGAAGTTTTATTGAAAAGTGTGGCTCAATCTATGCCTACCTTTTCGATGAGCGTTTTTCTACTCCCTACGACTCTGTGCACTGCCATTGAGCGAACCATGAATCGATACTGGTGGAGATCGAGAGATGACCAGGGTATTCATTGGAAAGCTTGGGATAAACTGTGTATCCCAAAAGAATATGGAGAATTGGGATTCAAAGAGTTGCGAGCCTTTAACCTTGCAATGTTGGGCAAACATGCGTGGCGCTTTCTGACACAGCCACAATCATTGGTTTCAAGAGTTTATAAAGCCAGGTACTATCCCACTAATTCTTTCTATGAAGCATGCTTGGGAAATAACCCAAGTTTTTGTTGGCGAAGTATTATGGCGGCACAAGATTTGATTTGTGGAGGGGTTAGGCGCAGGATTGGGGATGGCAAATCAACTTTGATTTGGGACCATCCATGGTTGCAAGATGTGAGTCAGCCGAAAATATTAACAGAAAAACCACCCCAATTAGCACAGGCAAAGGTGATGGGACTGATGGATCAACAGACAGGAACCTGGGATCAGGATATTCTAACTGATATTTTTGACCCTGAGGATGTAAAGCGAATTTTAAAAATACCTGTGTCACCCGATTATGAGGATTTGTGGTATTGGTATGGGGACCCAAAAGGAGAATATTCGGTTAAAAGTGGCTATAGAACAATAGTAGGTAACTACACCCAAGTGGTTGGGACCTTTGATAAATGGAAAATATTATGGAAGCTTAAAGCCCCCCAAAGTGGAAAACATTTTTGTGGAGAGCTCTAAATGATATTTTGCCCACTACAAAGAACCTACTTATAAAGAGAGTTGATATTGATCCAACATGTGCCATGTGTGGGATTGGGCATGAAGATATTGTGCATTCTTTGATCACATGTGATTATTCAACAAACATTTGGGCACAATCCCACCTTCCAATCCCCAATAGTGTCACAAATATTTTCAGTGACTGGTTTAATGATTTGATGAATATTTTAGATAATGATGGAATTATTTATGCAGTGGCACTCTTATATTATATTTGGCGTGCAAGAAATGGGGCTGTATGGGATGCGACCTTACCCAGACCTCGGAAGATAATTGCAATGGCATCATCAGCTGTGAACGCTTGGAAAGTAGCCCATCCCGGTCTGCATCCGCCGGCCACCTCCGCGGCATCAAGCAGCCGGACTGCTCCCGTGGTGGACACCCACACTGCAACGGCGGTCCCTTCGGCAACAACCAATACTATTGTTGTGCCAACTACACCACAGCTGCCAACGCCGAACATGGTACACCAAGCCACGCAAAACATGAGGGATCAATGTTACTTCGATGCGGCGTACGACCCACAGACAAACAAAGCAGCGGTGGGAGCTATTATTCTAAATTTGCAAGGACATTATATTTCGGCTATGACTGCCCCTATGATAGACTGTTTTTCGGCCCTAATGGCGGAGGCCTTTGCATGCAAGGAAGTTTTGTCGTGGCTAAGAAGTCGCGAAATAAAGTCTATCGAGCTCTTCACGGATTGTTTGGTGCTTCAACAACATTTATCATCTGTGACACACTCGTCAAGATCGTACTTGGGTTATGCCATTGATAGTTGCAGGACTAGTATATTATCTTTTGATTATTGTTTACTTCATTATGTTCCTAGTCTAGATAATTATTTAGCTCATACTCTAGCATCTACTGCAATTACTCAGTCAACTAGTATGTACTCGGACTATGATCCACCAGCATCTATTTCTGCATATTTTGAATAAATGCCGTACATGCTCCTTTCAAAAAAAAAACTACAAGATAAAATTAAATTTGTTATATTAAATTGATAATTAAAAAATTATTATAGTAAACTATTGACATTAAAAATGTTTAGTGAAATTAGTGATTAAATAGCTTTGAATATGTATAAAAGATAACAAAAAAATTTGATTATGTTAGAGTAGTGTATTTAAAAGAAATACAATATGAAACTTAACATTAACTTTGGTCAATTAATTGGAATCACGCATTGGGTATTGATAAAATGGTACACCTAATTTACAATCTATATTCAACATAGATGAGAAAATATGTCTATTATCATTGTCTTTTTGGAGAAGAAGGATTTTGTTCTGTTTTTGAATATGCATTGCGCCAAGGCACTAAAATTGCAGTGAAGCACACCAGGGGATTAGATTAAATCAAGAATTCATTTCTGGCGGAAGTGACAACAAGAGGAAGCATGTATCACGCCAATTAATATTGTGTTGCAAAAATTATAATTAGGTATTATCCATTGATGGTGTTTCCCTCTAAAACTGCTATTACACCCGTTGATTTTATAACAAATTATACCACAAGTCATAATTATGTATTCTTGAAATATTTACTTTTATGAAAACTTTGATAATCTTGCATAGATATACGTCAGGGTACCGAATGATACTTTGATAAGTTCTGAAATACTAATTTAAAAATATACATTCAGAATTGAATTATTCACGCAATGTGCATGTGATAACTAGTTTTTAAGATAACAGAAAGAAAGTTAGTTTATTATCGTGGTGTTTTTCACCACAATTTTAGTGCCTTGGCGCAGTGTATATACCTTCAGAAACAGAACAATATCTTCCTTCCACAAAAAGACAATGATAATAGACATAGTTTCTCATCTGTGTTGAATATATACTATAAATTAGGTATATTGTTTTATCAATGTCCAATGTGTGATTCTAATTAATTGACCAAAGTTCATGTTAAATTTTATATTGTATTTTTTTAAAATAACATATTCATAGTATATATTTAACAATCATGTCAATTTTGATTGGGATGAGGTTCGAACCTACGACCTTCAATTCTTTGAAAATGAGTAAGTTAAAAAATAATAAATAGTTAACGAAATATTCCGTTACTAAATTTTACACGAATGCAAGGATATTTAAGAAAAGTTAATGATATAATAGACAGTAAAGTAAGAAAAATAATAATAATAAATACTAAAATCAAAATAATATTGACCATTAATTTCAACAAACAATTACATCAATATTTTTTAGTTCCTGTTAGGGGCTTAACTTTATTGGCTCTTATTATATTTGTATACTAGTTTTTCATGCGCATTGAGCGAATGAGATAATGTCCAATGATTATTATTAAATAAGTACTTCAAAGTATATTAATATATGATTATATAGGAATATTCATGCATAGGTAATTGAATGTTGAATTTGTTTATTTAAATCAGTAATTCAAAGTATATATATATATATATATATATATATATATATATATATAAATGCAAGATAATATATGAGACAATGATTATAATTGTCACTTAAATAAATGTTTGCAATTTTGTAATAGCGCTAGTCTTAATTCTTAGTCTAAAAACGATAGTTTAAATATATACTACTTTGGTTTAAATTTCTCTACGGGTGTGTTTGGAAACTCGGAAAATGATTTTTAGAAATTATCTTCAGGATTTTCAGTGTTTGGCTAGAGATAGAAAATGAAAGTCAATGAAAAATAGGAGTGTGGTCATTGAAAAATACATGGAATTTTCCAGAAAATGACTTTCATATTTTTGGGAAGGCATTTTTTGTTTGCAGTAGTGGAGCAGCCAATCACCCCCGCCGCCACCACCACCGCCAACCATTCCCACCACCCACCACCTCCACCATCCACCCCCATTGGCCCCCACCACCACCACCAACCATCCCACCACCCACCACCCCCTAGCACCACCCACAACCCACTACCTCCCCCCACCACTCCCACCCCCACAACCATTAAATACAACCAAAACTTATGTTGCATGGAATTTAAAATAAAAGTTGTTATATTCTAAACAAAACAATAAAAATGTTTTTTTATATATATAACAATAACAATTAAAATGTTTAAGTATATACAGTTCTGCTCATTTTTTGAAAAAAGAACCAAACACACAAAGACAATTTTCTGCTGTGCAGCCAAACACTAGAAATGAAAATATTTTCTGAAAAATGACTCATTTTTCTGAAAACATTTTCTAGAAGTCATTTTCTTGCTTTCCAAATGGACCCGTCTTCTTAATTCTCTTTTGGGTAGCATTGTCATTATCTTCATCATCAGTACTTGTCTTTTTTCTTTTTTTTTTTCTTTTATTGTTAGTGTGTCATGTGCAATTGGGTTATTGGTGGTAGCATAGAGGGCACCATCATGCAATGAGATTATGGTGTAGAAAGTTTTAGATGTGCCTTAATGTGTATATGATTGGAAAAGTACCTCTGCTGAAGCCCAAAAAGTCTTATGGAGTCTGCTTGATTGATTTGGGGTCGTTATGTTGTGCATCCGTGTGCGCACCATGCATGGTGCATACGGATGCAAAAACGACGTCGTTTTGACTAAAAACGCGCGTCCCACCTAAAAAAAATTTAGTTTTGATTCCCCTCAACAACATTATGTTGTTCATTAATTCTGGATTTTTAATTCATAGATTCTGGATTTTTAGTTCATTGATTCTGAATTTTTAGTTCGTTCATTGATTCTGGATTTTTAGTTCATTGATTCTGTATTTTTAGTTCATTGATTCTGGATATTTAGACGTAAATTGAAACTGATTTTTTTTTCATTCATGCTGGATATTTAGTTCATTCATTATGGATATTTAGTTCATTCATTATGGATTTTTAGTTCATTCATTCTTTATTTTTAGTTCATTCATTCTGTATTTTTAGTTTATAGATTCTTGATTTTTAGTTCATTGATTCTGGATTTTTAATTCATTGATTCTGGATTTTTAGTTCAAATTATGTACAATATAATACTGTTTTTGGGAATCGAAACTGGATTTTTTTTTTTAACTGGGACGCGCGTTTTTAATAAAACGACATCGTTTTTACATCTATGCACCATACATGGTGCATACAGATGCGCAGCATAATTTGACATTGATTTGGGAATTTGTAGCCTCCAATTTTTGAGTCTTATCATCTCTAGAGTGTGAATTTTAGACTTTGTTGCATTCTTGATCTGATGTATCAAGCTGTTGATCTTTCAAAATATTTAAATCTGTTGATTCTTGCTTGAGCTTTGATAATATATATCTTCATAAATTAATCATCTGATTTTGATCTGGTTCATGGTGTCACGTACTGGCTTCCATAAAAAATGGTTCGAATTATACCAATTTTTAAAAGCTCAAACTTACACTCCAACTTAGACTATATTCTCCAAACTTAAACTCCAAGTTACACTCCAAGGTTGTCATCATGCGTAGAGGTTGAGTGCTGAACAGACGCTACCTGGTGCTCCAAGGATAAACTCCAACTTACACTCCTTACGCTATAGCCTCCAAACTGACAGTCCATCTTACACTCCTTAGAGCATCCACACTCGGAAAGAATTTAGGGTTATTTCTTACTTTAAATCTCTCAAGAAAAGTTAATAATTGATGTGGGGAAGAATTATTTAAAAAATAATTAATCTGCAAATGTTGAAATAATGTCAGAGAGAAAAAAAAAAAAAACCAACAAAAGCTGTGCGCGTTCACCAGGACTAGTCCAAACATTTTATAGGTCCGGGGCGAAATTTAAAAAAGGGCCCTATATGAAAAATTAAAATTAAAATTTAATAATAATAATAAAAATGATAATATCAAATAACTTGAAATAAGATTACAAAAAAATTCTACGTGCTTTACTCGATGCAAAATCATAAATAATTGCATCAAGATTAATATTTTCTAGCATATCCTTCTCAATACACAAAATCGCTAAACCATTCAATCTTTCTTTTGACATTGAAGATCTCAAGTAGGTTTTCAATAACTTCTTCTCTCCGCTGATGCTACAGTCATGGGTATCGTCAATAATATTCGATAAGCAATAGAAACCATTGGGTAGCAATCTACAACTTTGACAAACTCAATATTTTTTTCTAATATATCCTAATATATATATATATATATATATATATATATATATATATATATATATATATATATATATATATATATCATAGCTATGGGCCCCCCTCTAGAGATGGGCCCTAGACAGGAGCCTAGCCTGCTCTTGCCCCAGGGCCGACCCTGGCGTTCATGTACAACCAAATGCCACACGGACGGGTGCAGTGCATGCGCTCAGATGCGCTGACAGCACGCCTGACGCAATATTTTTTTTTTTTTTAAATTCAGTTTTCTCTTCTTCTTTTTCTATCCCCTCCCACATTCTCTTTTCTAATCATTTTTACATTCTCCCCTAATATTCCCAATTGATAATGTTGCTCTATAGCCTCCAAACGGACACTCCACATGTAAAATAGCTTTTTTGACTTTTTTTTTTATCTTAAAAAGGGATTTTTTGACTTTAAAAACTCCTCCTCCAACCGCGCTAAAACATAGCCTCCAACTTAGTCGCTCAAGTCTTTAACCAATGCGCCATATTAACCTATTGGTTAATATCTTTTTATAAAATGTATTTCTTATCAATTTGACTAGAATAGCGTATAATGTAACTTTAGACACTCCAGCCCTTCTATCTTTCTCATGTTCATTGACTTTGACTTGAACTGATACACGCTCCGAGGTAAGCTCCAAACTCTACTCCAACTCTTAAAAATGATTAGCTAAATTTAGTATTTGATCCCATGCCTTCTCCAAAAGCATTTAAACCCTTCTCCACTTGATCATATGTGTCAAAGTGGAAGCAAATGACTTACAAGGGAGAATTCTATTTTTCAAGAATTCGTATCTCCCTTTGACTCAATTTTGACTTTAGGAGATATTTATCTAGAGTAA